TGTTTTCTGTTAAAACGAACTCGACTTAAGCAAACTTCCTTGCCACAATTTCTTTAGCTTTGCAACTTGCCTCGTGCCACTGACCGGGATTTACTTATCGTCCACGACCACGAAGCCCTATCTACTACCCCTGCTTATCGCAGACCGTACCCTGAGATCTATACAATTTCTTCGCCTTCTACCACAACCCCTAATTCGCGTCTCATAATCGTACGCCACTCCAGAAAAACAATCCACTCGATCTACCGAAAGCTGGGGACAGCAAATGTGCCCATATGCCGTCGCGGACCCCATATAACCCGTCCTATCCCCCGACCTCCGGCTCCCCGTCTAGTCATATCCGTTCGGCTGCAATTCCTTTCCCGGCAGAAGGGAATTCGCCTCATCGGATACCGCAAGATGGTTCAGGTCTATCGTCCATGACTGGAAATCCAGCGACTTCGCCCCCTCATCGTAGGGGCCATTCTCGTTCCGTCAGCCATCCGTTCCCCTCACCCTTCGGCGGCATTACGAAGCGGCGCAATCGGTCGATCTCGAAGAAAGATAACTTGATGTTTGATTCCGATGATGAAGATGACGATGAGGTTACGTATTTGCCGGACCCGAACTCGTCTAGCCCTCGTAAAGGGGCCGCGCGTCCGACTCCGGCTGAAGAGATGACTTCGGGAAAGTGCATGGTTTGTAACAGCACAGTGCGTTGGCCGCGGAATCTCAAGGTTTTTCGGTGCACGGAATGTTTGACTGTAAATGACTTGGAGCCATTTGTGGACTCTGGCAAGGCTGGCGGCAATGGCCTTTCGGGTAGTGATGGAAAGGCACCCACCCCCGCGGTGCCCCGAAAAGGTATGGATTATACCCGCTGGGTCTGCTTACGGGACAAGTAGTGAACTGACTGTGTTTAGCTATGCCGCTTTCCATCGAGCGAACGAAAACGATTTTAGATGATTGCCTCTCCAGGTATCTCCAACAGCTCCTGGCACCACAGCAGCAAAATTCGACCCCAGAGAATTATAGCGGAAAATACTTGGATGTCGCGCAGGACGAAAATCTATCACAGTCTCCAACTCAGTCTTCCGGGTACTTATCTGAACCGCGGCCTTTGGTGGATCCCCGGGGCCGCAGTTCCTCTACATCTAGTAAGCCTGTGAAAACGGAGGGAGTAAGCGGCGTCCCGAATTACTCGAAACCTAACTTGACTCCTTCCTATGCGCATGGAGAGAGAAAGGGCTCCGAGATGAGGAGCCGAGATGCTCAAAACGCCCCGAGACGTGATCGCTCACCTCGGAATGCTGCCCGATCAAACGGTCCAGAGGCTAGAGGCCCTACCAGTCGTCCGTACATCTTCAGGTCGCTCGAGGAATATATCATCACGTCGTTCAAGGGCTGTGACTGTCTGAACAGCTCCTTCACCACAGCACAGCCAGCCCCGCGAAATGCTGGTAACAGCAGCCCACCGAAGCAGAAAGCGGAACCAAGCTCTGCTCAGGCCCCCAGTCAGGTAACATTTGAGCCGGATCCGAAGCTGCTACTTCTTGGAGACATTGCAGAGAATTCCTCTTGGTGGATGAACGAAGTAGAACAGATTAGTAGCTCTCATCGGTCCCGCTCGAGAGAGCGCCGGGAGAAGACCTCTAGCTCATCTAGGCCTGTTTCTTCTAGGAGCCCTCGGATCAATTGGGCAGAACTTGCACAGTGGCACCACATGATCATGACGGCGGGAACGTCATGGGTAGAGCTGTGGTCAACAATGAAGCCTACCGAGATGAAGAAGGAAGAAGACGCCGTTATAGCCCAGAAGTGGAATGCCACCGACTTAGCTATGGTTGACAGAGAGATCACAGAGTCGCGTTTACATTTGCACCGAACGCTCTTGAAGGCGACCGAAAATCTGCTAAAACGGCCCAGACGGCCATTGAAGAGGCCCGAGGATACCAGGTTTCTACTGATGCTACTGACGAACCCCTTGATTTATTCGTCCAGTTCATCGTTTGCATCTTACAGTCTGGCGCCTTCGGCGGCCCGCGGTGACCGGAGGCCTTCTCACCCCAAAGATGGCACTCCAAGACCGGCTCCTCGGAATCCGAAGCCTCCTCCAAAACCCCGAAGCAATGGTCCAGGGCATCATTATGGCATTGTCAAGCGGATATTGGGGCTCTTGGCTAATTTACCGAACGACTGCCATCACTACTTGGTGTCCTGGTTCTCGCGTTTCTCTGCCGGGCAATTCGAGAAGATCGTGGACCTTGTCGGGGGATTTGTTACTCATCGACTAATGCGCCAACATGGGAGGAAGCGCAGCGAGTCGGCTCAACACGACGACGATTTGGTGCCCAGCTTCTCTAGCGCCGCAGGCCACACTCCGGCCGAGCTGCATGCGGCGATCAATGGCAGGAGCCCCAACAAAGCAAATGAGCAGCGCGACCAGCCCGTAGTGTACACGGATGACTGGCAGGTGCGGGCTGCGGCGCGAGTGATGTACTTGCTCTTTACGGCGAACAATGCGAACGTTTCCCGGAAACCAGACGGCGTCCTTGGTCAAGATGCAGGATCTGTGGCTAGAAATCAGGCCAGTCGGCGGGGGCATATGATCCCGATCAGTTCCTTTTACAATACACTACTGGATTATTCCGACCTTGTCGCCGATTTTGAGGCCTGGGAGTCAAAGACCACCAAGTTCTCCTTCTGCCAGTACCCTTTCTTCCTAAGCATCTGGGCCAAGATCCACATCCTAGAACATGATGCACGCCGGCAGATGGAGGTCAAGGCTCGCGAAGCGTTCTTCAACAGCATCATGAGCCGGACGGCAATCAGCCAGTATCTCGTGCTGAAGGTGCGCCGCGACTGCTTGGTGGAAGACAGTCTGCGGGGGGTCAGTGAAGTCGTCGGCTCAAGCCAGGAGGAGATCAAGAAGGGACTACGCATCGAATTCCTCGGTGAAGAGGGCGTTGATGCGGGAGGTCTCCGCAAGGAATGGTTCCTGCTCCTTGTCCGGGAAGTCTTTGATCCTCATCACGGTAAGTAAATGTTCATTGTCAGCCAAAACATGCAATGGGCCAGTTGACTGATTTTCCTATAGGGCTATTCATCTATGATGACGACTCGCGATACTGTTATTTCAATCCATATTGCTTCGAGTCCTCGGAGCAATTCTTCCTGGTCGGCGTTCTCCTGGGACTGGCCATCTACAATTCGACCATCCTCGACATTGCGCTGCCACCGTTTGCCTTCAAGAAGCTCCTGGCTGCCGCGCCGCTGTCGTCAATTACGCGGCCTATGTACAAGTGCAGCCTGGATGATCTGGCGGAGCTCCGACCGGCATTGGCCAAGGGTCTACGGGCGCTGCTTGACTACGAAGGAGACGTTGCGGAGACGTTCTGCTACGACTTTGTGGCGCAAGTAGATCGCTACGGCGAAACAGTGTCGGTACCCCTCTGCGCTGGAGGGGAGAATCGGCCGGTGACAAACGCGAACCGCCGGGAGTTCGTGGACCTATATGTGCACTTTCTCCTAGACACGGCGGTCACGCGGCAGTTCGAGCCCTTCAAACGGGGGTTCTTCACGGTATGCGGCGGCAATGCGCTCTCTTTGTTCCGTCCGGAGGAGATCGAGCTACTGGTGCGCGGCTCGGACGAACCGCTCGACGTGGCGTCCCTGCGGGCGGTTGCCACGTATGACAACTGGTCCAATGCACGGCCAGAGACGGAGCCAGTAGTCCGGTGGTTCTGGGATTTCTTCGAACAAACGCAGCCGCAGGCGCAACGGAAGATCCTATCGTTTGTGACGGGAAGCGACCGAATCCCAGCCATGGGGGCGACGAGCCTGTCGATCCGGCTGGTGTGTCTGGGTGATGAGACGAGCCGATTCCCGACGGCGCGGACGTGTTTCAACCAGCTGGGACTGTATCGATATGAGACGCGGGAGAAGTTGGAGCGCATGCTTTGGGATGCGGTGTTGAATGGCGAGGGGTTCGGGCTGAAGTAGACACGGGGAGCAGGACTCCCTCCAATGCGAGCCTTGGCACTGGCGTCTGGGGCATCTTCGAGGCATCGGGCATTAACAGCATTAGCACTAGTTCCATTTTTGAGTGTTGGGGGCGTTTTCTTATTTTCATTTCTCGTACGAGGTTTGGGGGTGGTGAGACTCGTCCGGGGGTGCATCTTGTAGACGGGGCTGGACCGAGTTGATAGCGTGCGGGGGATGACGAGATGCATCCGCGGTGTACGGTTGACAAGGGCACTGATACGAGCTGTCGGCGGCAGTCATGAGACGGCAGCCACGTAAGTAGCAAGCCAGTCGGACCGGGACAGACACGGCGGTGGCTGCCGTGGGAGGGGGAACGGTACGGTGTCGGGCCATGGCCTGGGGATCGGACCGAGAGGAGAGTGATGTACATAGCAGTTGCCCGAAGATTAGAGATGGGTCCCGATGTGAATGGGTCGTTGGGCGACCAAATGAAAGCGGTAATTACTCGAGTGATGCAGTAGGAGGCAGTAGGTAATAGACAGTAGACAGTCTAGTGCTAGTGTCTCCTCTCGAACTTGGTAGAGACAGAGAGAGGAGGTGCATGCATGAGAAACAGCGCTAGTCGTGCCGTAGCGAGTGGGGCAGCGGTGAGTTTGTTTGTTTCGCGTTCGCTGGAAGGGAAGCACTCGAGTAGCGATCGTCGGTGTCAAAGTCGATTCAATTTCCCTCAATGAAATCATTCCTTCATCCATACCCTTTCTGAATACTGAACCAGGAACAGCATCAGGAACCACCATCTATCTCTGTATGATGGGATACAGATCCGTCCCTGGTTCCTGGCCAGATCTTCATCCAGTCGAGAGTCGGAAATCAAGGCCACTCGGGAAGACCACGTTCAAGTGGGGGGGGAAATGAAGTCATGCGGGTCGCAAGCTGTGGGGGTTAAACTAGACGCCTTTCTTTTTTCTTTTGGTTTCCTTTTCGCCCTTAACTCGTTGTAGAATAGAGAGATTCTGGCGGGTTCTGTGATGAAGTCATAGGCTTGGGGAGTTGCTGTTTTGGTTTCTGTTTCTCCTGGGTTCGATTCTATGTGGGATAGTCTGGACCCACTTGTAGCTAGCTATACAGGGTAGGCTAGTAGTAGCTGCTGTTGTTGTCTAGGTCCTGTAAGTCCGTGGTTGGTGGTGGTGGTGGTGGTAGTGTAGATGGTGATTGCGGGGGATTTTGGCTTGTATCACTGTGTGTTCTCTCCAGGGTAACTTACCTGCTAGTAGTAAGAGTGGTCAGTTATAACTGGATAGAAAGTAAGTTTGTTGGGTTTGGGGTCCCGTACATGGATAGTGGGTGCTATACCCTATGAGTTGAGTGATTGTGCATGAGTGGTGTTTCAAGGACGGGATGGAAAGGAATCGAATTGGTCCATGTACTGAAGCCTTAGGAGGACAGATCCCCGGAGACACAACAACAACAACATCAGGCCATCCCCACTGGGGATTAGTCCAATTTCCCTTACGTATGGTAAGGAGGTTATTCCTGATCGGATCCTGGTATAGAATAATAGTTAGTCACTTAGTATTTACCCCTCGAATGGTCACCATTCAAATAGCCTCGTCTTTCCCTCTTTTTCTTTGTCTTCATCTTTTATCTTTTTTTCTCCAACAACTCACTCCCTCATCCTTAGTCACTCTCACTTCGCTATTATCTTTAACCTTCTTTGATAACTTGTATGTTTCTTGTCTTTCTGAGGTTTTTTTCTTGGGTCTGTTGGGTCTTTGCTGACGGTGTCGATTCCTGTAGTAAAGTATCCATATCATCACTATCATCATGGGTTCCACTCTTCCTCAGACTATGAAGGCTCTTCGGTATGTTCCTTTTCCCTAATCCTAGTCATTAGTTGGGATGTAGTTAACCATCGGTACCAGCTATGAGAAGCCAGAGTCGCACGGCATTGTCGACGTCCCGCTGCCTGAGCTCCGTGACAACGATGTCTTGGTATGCTCTTACCTCCTCTCTTATACATATACATACCATGCATTATGCACCTCTAACAACGCCCCCCTTCACAGATCAAAGTCAAAGCCTGCGGTGTCTGCGGAACCGACCTGCACATCCACGAGGGTGAATTCATTGCCAAGGTACCGTAGCCCACCTACCCTCCCACACCCCTCTCGCAATTCACTAACAGGAGTGATTGAATAGTTCCCTCTAGTCCCCGGTCACGAAACTGTCGGTGTTGTCGCCGCCGTCGGCCCCAAGGTCAAGGGCTTCAACATCGGTGACCGCGTCGTCGCCGACAACTCCGAGCTCTGCGGCGAGTGCTTCTACTGCCGTCGCGGCGATGAGCTGTTCTGCGAACACTTCGAAGCCCACGGTGTTACCATGAACGGTGGCTTTGCTGAATACTGCGCGTACCCTGCTGGCAGGGTATTCAAGATCAAGAACCTTTCTGATGTGGATGCCACGTTGTTGGAGCCGGCGAGCTGTGCGGCGCATGGTTTGGATAAGATTGCGCCGAAGATGGGGTCGTCGGTGCTGTTGTTTGGGGCCGGGCCGACTGGTTTGGTATGTTCCCCTAGGTATGCAGTGGTGCGTTTGTGCTAACGGGTTAAATGTATAGATCCTGGCTCAATTGCTCCGCCAATGCGGTGGCTGCCGCGTGGTGGTCGTCGCGCCCGAGGGATTGAAGATGGATCTGGCCAAGTCGCTGGATGCAGGTGATGAGTATGTTGCGCTGTCGCGACAGGATCCTAGCGCACAGTTCCAGAAGCTGAAGGACGAGAACCCCTACGGGTTTGACATTGTTGTTGAGGCCACAGGTAGTGTCAAGATCTTGGAGGACTCGATCAACTATGTCCGCAGAGGTGGTAAGCTGGTCGTGTATGGAGTTTATTCCAACAAGGACCGTGTGTCTTGGCCTCCTAGCAAGATCTGTAAGTTCATTCCTATCTTCCTTTGGTTGTGCGGATATATACTGATGGTATGATAGTTGGTGACGAGATTACTATCCTTGGCAGCTTCTCTGAGGTGTACAAGTTCCCTGCGGCGATTGACTACCTCGACTCGGGCAAGGTCAAGGTCAAGGGCATTGTCAACAAGACGTTCAAGATTGATCAGTGGGAGGAGTGTCTGGCGGCGATGAAGAACAAGACGGCCATTAAGGCGGCGATTACTTTTGATTAGTGCTGGTCACTAGATGTATATATTAATGAGTTATGTTTGGTATGAAGCTTTGCTTCTTGACTGAGTCCAATATCATGATGACATTCAGTTGATTTGAAGTGTATTGACGAAATGTTACTGGTATATATATGGGGTGAGGACCCGGGGAGTCAGACTGACGTAGATCTCCACCAGGGCTTGATTTTAAATCAAATCAAGATCACGAGGACCTTGAGGCCACATAGCATAGATGCACGATCCCATAAACCAAATACCATAGCTAGTTAGTAGCTATAGCTATAGCTACAGCTAGGTTCAACCGGAGTTGAACCAGCCGCAGCGATTAAACCCGTACCAACACAAAACTTATCGATAAGAAAGATTCTCCACACCCAGCTCTCCTCACCTCTCTCATCCATCACCTCACAACCTACCTCCACAGCCCATCTCCATTCTCTACACCTACCCAACCCATTTTCAAAACCAATTCCAGACCCCAAAGAATAACCATGGTAAAGCCTCTAACCTTCAAAGGCGACAAGCCCAAAAAACGCAAACACACCTCCACATCAACCTCCACCGATCCCTCCCATCCAGCCAAAAAACAATCCACATCAACCAGCACCCCAACCGCCAATGAAGCCGAAGACCCCTCAACCCACGATGAACACACCCTCTCCGATCAATCCTGGGTCTCCGCCGACACAAGCAGCGACATCTCCGGCCCAATCCTGCTCATCCTCCGCACCACACCACCCACCTGCCTCGCGACCGACGCGCACGGCACCGTCTTCGCCTCTGCGCTCGAGAACATGATCGAGGGGGATCCCCGGACCGCGGAACCCCATGATGTGCGACAGGTTTGGATTGCGAGTAAGATTGCTGGCATTGAGGGGTGGAGTTTGAAGGGATCAAACGGGCGGTATGCATACACTCATTTCTGAATGTTGTTGTGGATGATAAAAGGGCTAATGGGGCTATTGTGCGACGGTTAGATACTTGACTAGCGACAAGCACGGCATCTTGTCCGCCAATGCATCGGCTATTTCGCAGCACGAGATATATACGATTAGTGAGAGTGGGGCGGGGGGAGGAGGGTTCTTTGTCTTTGGGACCGGGACGGGAGCGTCTTCTGCTTCGCAGGGGGGTGATGGCGTGGATGATAAGGAGAAGAAGGAAAAGAAGCAGACGTATCTTGTTGCGCGGACTGTTGCGTCGAAGACGACTGCTTCGGGGACGAAGGTTGAAATTCGTGGGGATGAGACTACTCTTGATGATGGGGAGGAGGATGGGGGAGGGACGAATATTCGTGTGCGCATGCAGGCGCGCTTCAAACCGCGCATCCAAGCGAGTAAGGAGATCAAGGCGCGGGAGAAGATCGGGAGAAAGGAGTTGGAGGGTATTGTGGGGAGACGGTTGGATGATGATGAAGTCAAGAGGTTGAGGAAGGCGAGGAAGGAGGGCGATTTTCATGAGGTCGTGTTGGATGTTAGAGTGAGAGGGAAACATGATAAGTTTGCTTGATTAGGATTACTTTTTCTATAGATGTTTTGTTATGCCATGTACAGTCTATTCTATCATGTGTGTTATGTAAGTCTCGGGTCGTGGAATGTCTATCTAGTGAGGTTGCAGCCATGGGTCTTCTGGTGGAAATCTGAACCAGCTGCTTGGGAGCACGCTCTTCTTGCATAGCGGGCAGAGACTGCTGCTCTGCGTTAGGGATGTATCGATGCATGGTGGGTGGTAGATGTGTCCGCACGGCAGCTCACGCACTGCTGATAAATCCGGCTCGAAATCATCCAGGCAGATCGCGCACGTCGTTTGCTGTCGGCTGAGTCGGTTTTTGTGCCGTACATAGGCGTCTGGGTGGCCTGCTATTGTCGCCTGCGAGGGTCGTCTGATGGACTCGCCGTCTATTGCTTTTTCCGCCTCATTGTCCGCCTCACGAATTGCGACGGTGGGTGTTTTGGGGTCTATGTCTTCAGCAGAGTGTTCGGTGATCCGTGGTAGATTCCCAGGTGTTGAATTCTCATGGGTCGATTCGTTGTCGTCACCATCGCCCATGTAGATGTAGATTGGCATCGTCTCCAAGAATTCTGGCGGAACTTTGATATGAAGCTGGGCTAGCTGCTCCAAGTCTGCTTCTCCGGCTTCCAGGCGGCGCTGAAGCTCCCGCTGATGCCGCCTGTGCACCAGTTGGTAGAATAAAAGTAGGATAATAGTAAGTACGAGGACCGTCCCGAGAATGGCGAGAATGAACCCCCATATACTGGGCATCTTCTTTGCGCCACTATCTGAGCCATATGTCAGCTTCTTACTGGCAATGTCACGACAACACAAGCCTACCTATATCTATGACCGCTATCAATCTGCTAGCCCCTGACGACGACAATGCAGTTAGGTTGTCTTGGTCATCGGGATCGGGCACACTCCCGTCGCGTGACAGTTGTTCCATCAAGGTAGCACCCGCCGCGCCGGGGATTCCGTACACCGGAAAGTTGCTCTGCGATTGCCAGCTAGCGCTTCCTCCCAGCTGCCAGGCCGGGTCATTTGCCGCTGGCGGCTTTTTGTCATCGTTGGACGGCAGAAAAAAGAGCAGCGCGGCCGGCACGGTCCCCTGCGAGACATTGAGAAACGCCTGCGAACATTCGTCGCTTATCCAAGGTGCCAGCCCGATCACACGGCCGTCGAACGGCGTGACGCCTTGGAGGCGGGTGACGTTGTCCGGGATATACGGTTCAGTGGTATTGTTGCATGGATTTTGGTTTCCGAGGCTGGGAACAAAGAGAAGTCCCTGAATTGAGCCTTGGTCCGGGGCTTTTTGTTTCGACAGCGTTTGAACGGTATCGTCAAGCTTGAGAGAAAAGATCGAACTCTCCTAGGGGCACAGTCAGCTTCTCGGACACGGAATTTCACGGGCGTCTGACGCACGTTCAGAGCGATGGTGGTGTTTGTCGGATCAGCAAAGAGCGTCGCAACCGTGGTGAGCGATTTGGCAGCTAGATAAGAGGCATATCAGCGATCGCTCAGGTATGGACAGTGAGACAGCCACGGAAGGATGAACAGGCAGTCACGATCGAAGGAATGTGCAGCATTCTCTGAAGCAAGGGGAGCATACTCATGGTGTGACACGGTCGTGCGACCAGCACGAGACCCGTGGACAAGAGGAATCCAGCAGCTTAAAATCCAAGTCCAGGGAGCATCGTCATCCGCATTCCGATCCGATTGAAATGAGAGTCGACGTCAGACGCACGATGCCTACTGCAATGGGAGAGTGCGCGAGCAGAGTCAATCTATTATCTTGTCTATGGGACTTGTGGGAAGAATGCTGACAGGTCAGGTTGATTCGACTGTCCGTTGCGGATAATTGCGGCGGCCAGCTGTACCAGGCCAAGACCAAGCAGAGAAATCTGCAGTTTGCTGGGGTACTGCTTCTGCGCTGGCTCTTCCCGGATCAAATTTGCTTGTCCCAACCATCCTGGATAGCCTGTATGCTGTTTGCAGTGAATGCGACGTTTGCGGCATGAACCAAGCAGGGTTACTCTTGAGGGTCTAAAAATAGCCAAGATGAGGATGGATGGTGATGCTTAGATGCAAGCATCCTACCCTAACAGCCATGGTATTACTATTGGTTCTGCCAATGGAAAAATGTCAAGGAACGGTCCAGCTGTAGCCTGTACTACCTTGTTGTGTCAAGAGTAGAGGCGATCACTGCACTGCGATGGAGTAAACTACGGTTAGCATGTATGCCTTGTAGATCCTCCACTTCTCCATGTCGGTGGAGCCGAGTTGGGTTTAGCGTCTCAACTGGTAAGCCTACCAGTTAGTTTGCTTACTATGCATTATTTGCACCCTCTGTATCAAGTCATGTGATATTGTCTACACGTGAGATCACATGTCCTATCACGTGGAGACGGGCATCTCGAGATCAGCATCTCCAACATCACCATCAACAAGATCAATCAGACTACTACTCAATTGAAACGGTGCTGAGCTTGTCTGCAAAGGCAGGAACGATAACTCTGAATCTGCGTGCTTGACTGAGCGCGGTGACTGCAGGCCCTCGATCCGAGCATGAACACCATGAGCTATTAGTTCACGCGATTCCAGACCACATCAGACTAGCAACTCCTCCGCGCATCGCATACCGTCAACAGCTTCCTGCCAGATCCACACCTCAAACATGCCCTCCGCAAACAAAGGCAAAGGCAAAGGCCGCGAAGCTCGCCCCTCCCGAAGTCGCAACACTACCCCAAACTCCAGCTTCAGCGCCGGCCCGACCGCCTCCGCCCCGCTCCACAGCTACCTCGACAATGATGTCTCCAAGTTGATGATGACCGGCTCGACCATCCAGTATGGAGAACTACTTGAGCGCATGGGCGGAGTTGGCCCGATCCCCGATTCCAAGTCACTCGAGTTGTTGATGGAACACCTCAAGACTTTGAGCCAGCTAGCCGAAACGCGAGGCGACGCATGCAATGCCGGCATCAGAGAGCTATCACAGAAGCGTAAGGAGGTCGTCGAAGAGCAGGAGTCAGCTGAGCGGGAAGGGGCTGATCGAGTGAAGATGAAGCGAGAAGCCGATGACGAGGAGGAAGAGAAGGTACTGAAGGGAGGCAAGCTGAAGAGGCGCAAGGAACGCGGGAGCAGTTCCAAGGAGGAACGCCCGCTGACTCACGGTGCCCATGATGTTGCGCGACAGGACGGTGCTGAGACCAAGGTTGAAGGAGGTGAGTCTATCATTCGCCGTTTTGCGATGAAGCGTTGCTACTTGAGCCTTTACATCCTGCCCATCCATTCCTGCCATGCTAATTCATGCAGCCGCATCACCAGCTTCCAAAAAGTCCAAGAACGCTGCTTCCGAAGAGGCATCATCTTTATCCCCCCCATTGCGAAAGTCCCCCCAGCCAGCTGCCGATGAAGACGCCGAGGATGCAGGGTCGCCTGGGTCGGACGATAGCTCTGATTCACACCAACCTGAGCCCGCGCCGGCCGTGCCACAGGTGCAAGTGTTCGGTCCCAACCCGCTCAAATTTGACGACCCAACCATATATCACATCCGGGAAGTTACTCCAGACATGACCGATGAGGAGAAAAAGGCCATCTACAGCGTCGCCCGCTTCCCCTGGAGTGATTTGAGCCATCTGATGGCGGGCTCCCCTCCGGATCGAGACTTCAGCAGCTCCAAGCCCGCGAGTCAAGTCAACGCCAATACGTTCCTAGCCTATATCGATCCATACGTCCGCCCGTTGACGGAAGAAGACATAGCGTTTCTCAAAGAGAAGGTGAGCCTTCCGGTCGATCTCGCTACGACCTAGCGCTAACAGACCCAGGGCGATCGCACGACCCCGTTCATCATGCCTCGACGCGGAAAGAAACACTACACCGACGTATGGGCTGAGGACGACGGACTCATGAATGTTGACCAGCCCAACGGCGATAAAGAGCGGCTACCGCTCAACCAAGGCAGAGGAAACATCGACCAAGTGACCGACGAGACGGTCGAAACCGACAAAGTCTCCGTCGGCCCTCTAGTCAGCCGACTCTACTCACTACTCCGCTACGAGCATCGAGCTCTCCCCGATGAAACCGCCCCCAACGCCAACGGCTCCGTCAACGGCGACATGGCGAACGGGCCCATGAACCCCGACTCCATGGACATCGACCACCCAACCGGCGAAGCCTCCAACGAAACCAAACCCCTCCCCTCCGCAACCGCCTTCCCCGACTCCTCCCCGAACAACTTCAAAGTCCCCGCCGCAAAGCTCGACCACGCCCAGCTAGACGAGCGTCTGAAAGCCGAACTCCGCCACGTCGGCTTCCTCGGCCCAGACGACAACCCAGACTACGACGCCCACTACGACGATGACATCGCCCAACGCCTGCGTCTCCTCCAAAGCGAACTCAAAAAGCAAATGATCATCAACAGCGCCCGCAAAACCCGTCTCCTCGACATCGCCCGCGAACGCATGGCCTACCAGGAGTACATGACCATCCACGACGACTTGGACTCCCAGGTCCAGCAGGCCTACCTAAAACGCACCCGCACCCTTGGAAAAAGCAAAAAGGGCTCCCAGGCCAAACACCGTCCCGGTGGCGCCGGCGGCGGCAGCCATGTCGTCAGTGCTGCAGGTGTTGGCCGCCCCGCGATTGGTGATGTTGCCCGGACGCTTATGGATCGACGTAAGCGGTGGCGCGATTGTATCGGACTTGTCTTCAAGGATAGCAAGACTAGTGTGCCTGGGAAAAATGAGTCGGTCTTCGAGCCGTCTTTGATGGCTGAGATTGAGAAGGCCGAGGTGGAAGGGTGGGATGAGGAACAGGATTGATCGATCGATCGAAACCTGTTACCATTCTGCCCGATTATCCCGGTTTCTGATTCGATGTACATATTGTGGTTCTTTTTCTGGCTTCCTTATTTGGCTGATATCTTAGCGACGGTTGAGTAGGTGATCTACCCTTTGGTTTAATTTTGGGTTTAAGGCGTTGAGGAAGGATGACTGGATGGATGGATGGATATGATCGGGACGTTTTCCAAGACGTAAATATAGCCAGCATATCAGCTGGGAAGATCTCTGGATTCATATATACAGAATAGGTATTAACGAGGACTATTAGCACTCTACTTCATTACTGTGATTCTCTTCTTCGTGACTCGTATTAAATACTGATACAGGCGTATTTAATGTATATTGGTTAGTAATAAATTTAGCAAATCGGGTATCTACATGAACAAAGCAAGCTAGGAAAGGAGCAGAGGTAGTAATCATCGATGCAGTATCAGCACCTCCCCTGGAAACCTCTTCAACCGCGCCGTCAACTCCCTCTCACTAATTTCCAACTCCGTACAGATCTGATCGAAACAATGCATCCCATCGAGATACTTCGACAACGTCTTATCATCAATGTCATCTTCCTCTTCCTCACCCTCGAGGGTCACGATCGTGGCCGGCCGACTTCCACTATATACTGAGGTTGAGTGATGGCTTGGCCCACCATCGTGCTGTGCAATCGGGGCCGGGTCGTCTCCCGCACTAGTGGCGTAAGGACTGTTGGTGCCTGTGCCGGGCCCCCGCGATGATGGGCCGCTGGGCGGATGTAATGCGGGCGAGCTGTGGTGATGATAGTGAGAGGATTTCATGGGTGGTGCTGGGTTTCCTGTTGCTACGGCATATTTGTGCACACGGTAGATGAAGCCCTTGATGACGCCGAAGGTGATGAAGCGGCGGATGTCGATGTGGGCGAGTTGTCGGCTGTGTTGGAGGTACCATTGTTTGATGCTTTGGCCTTGTTTCAGGCTGGCGTAGAGTTCGACGATGCCGACCCCGTCGACGAGTTGGGGCTCGGTGGGATGTATGTCTGTAGTAGTGGCGGTGTCGTCGTCGGTGGCTGTTCCTGGGGCGGGAGACGCGGTTCTGCTGCTGCTGGCTTGGATGGTGCCCGCGCTAGGACTCGGGCTGGGGGTTCGACTAGGGCTGCGACTGGAGATCGTGATCTCGCTGGCGCTGCTGGTTGTGAGAGGGTCACCGACTGGGGGCCAGACAGTGTCGGGATCGTAATGCGGGGGATAGCCCGGGGTTAGGGCGGCCGAAGCAGCGGTGATTGGGGAGGCAAAGACGGTGTTGACGTAGCGGGCGCACTCCTGCTGCATTTCTTCGTCTGTGGCAATTGTGGAGCTGAATTGGGCGGTTGGGGCGTAGATGGCCGAGAAGGAGAAGATGTCGAGGAGGAACAGGCAACCGTAGTAGAGCAGATGACGAATGGCGCGGCAGGTCAGGGAGAAGTCAGTATCGGCAAGGATCGAAATTATCCGTACACTATTGACGCCATTGATGTGTGGGACGATCTGGAGGGGAAGTTCAGCTGGCTGGGGTGTAGTGAGAGGCGCAGGTGCGAACGTACCCGTTGCATGGTCAGATCCCAGTTCTCGTCCATGAAGGTCTGGTAGCGGACCGTGAACAGCGGCACATGCCATGCCTTGACAGGCGGAGGGGCAGGATAGATGGGGAAGAGCTTGATGTTGAGGGTGTTCAGCTCGTCTGGGATATCCCAATTAGCATCTTGAGTTTGGGTAGACACGCAGTGGACTGAAAGGGTAGGCATTACCGATTGGGATCATGCACTCGCAGTAATTGTTCAGATCCTCCATCAGCGTCTCACACAGGCTGTATACCTTCCCCTCGCCGGATTTGGAGTGATCTCGCGATAGGAAACCATTCTGCTCCTCCAATCCATGCATTAAATCCGCCAGCTTCTGCACGACACTCTTGTAGGTGCTGAAATCCTCCTCCTCAGCCAGCACCACGCAGAAATTGAAGATGAACTCATTTCGGTCGTATCGCAGGGACTTCATGCAGATCGGATATCCCAGGATTCGATAGCCATTGGTGCAGACCTGGATCAGATTTCCACACAGCTCTTGCCGGGGAATGACGAAGAAGGAGATGTCGGAGAAAGTGAGGAAGAGGGGCTGCGAGGGGGCAGTTGCGGAGGGGACGATCGCGCCATCGGGAACTTGGTGGACGACCTTGGGCCCTTAGAGCAGTCAGCAAATGACATTGAGTGAGATTCCCAACTAGCTTGAGGCGGCGTACCTTCCTGCGTGTCGAATTTACTGTAGAAGATGGCTTTGATCATGGTGGAATGGAAGGCATCGAGAGGGAAGGGGGGAAAGACTGACGAGTTCGCGGGGAGCTGCGGGGAGCTTCCAGCCCAACGCGGAGTTTCCACCAAATAAACATCCACCCGCCGACCGCTAACTGTAATTTCCCCCTCATTCTCCAGGGATTATCACAACGCTTTTCAAGATCATACTATAATTATTCTCCATCGTATGTGTTACTGCATTCTTCTAATCTGCAATTTATTTCGACTCTAAGAAAGACGATCAACGAGGGCGCATCTATGTGCAAATGGTGCCGCATGTGGCTCTCAGGGGGTATTACAACTGTAGAAAGTGAAAGGAGGACGCGCAGAGTCACAGGAAATCTATACGGTCGAAAGATAATTCGGGAATGTGGGAAGCAGAGCAATGAGCAATATCGCCAAGATATCCACCGAGGAAGCGCCGCAAATGCATAAATCAGAGTAGCCGGACCCGTTCGCTAAATGTTGAAGCTGGCAGGGAAGGAAACCTCAAGTCGACTGCCGTTCTATCGGGCTGTCCGTGACGACGAATGAGCATAGCGCTGGATGCCCCGACTCGACAGCATGGACGGGGTGGGCAGAACGAATGGCTCTGAAAGTGAGGCAGATGATCGACCGCCGACCCTTCCGAGGGGCGGCATTGGAGGAGACGTATCGTATAGGTAACCCAGTGGCTGACCCATACGGATCGCACTGAGCACATCTGTGTAGCTCCCTCGCTCCCCGGCTTCCTTCAGCCACTGCTCCCAATCCTCGTCCAGTGACACGTCGGCCCCCTGCTCGCGGGCTGCGGTCGCTGCTATGAGGCGATGATTCAGCTCGACTCCGCAGCTCTCCATTTCGTCATCGCTTGAATCTTCCTCCTCTTTCTCTTCCACAATGCAATCGATCCCCCGGTCATCGATCAGGCTGCTAGTAGAGCGCACGGTCTCAAATGTCACCACTGGGTATTCCGGTTCTGGCAAGAGTTCTTCTTCTTCTTCCTCCTCCGTCTCATCCTCATAGTGGACTTCAATCGATGGAAGAGGAGATGGAGAAGCGGGTCGAATATTGTCGGCCGTAGTATCGCGGACTTTCACGCCTTCTTCCTTCTCGTAACGTTCGCGAGCCGACTTGGTGCCCTCCCAGCGGCATAGGGATGAGATCTCGGTCTCCGTAAGACCAAGCTCGTCAAAGGCCCGGAACAGTCTTCGGTGCCATGGAAAACGACCGAGCCTCATGCGGTGCGGACCATAGGAATAGTCAAGTCCCGGATACTGAGCCTCGGGGCAGTCAAGCGATCCATAGAATGTGGACGTTTCGACTCGAACTTCTGGGACCAGGTTGCGGGTGATATGTGCGGAGAATGTAGCCGGATCACTTGCGCGCGGGCGAGGAAATAATGTGCTGTGCACTATTTGGGCCAGTGAAGGCTTATGCATGGTGATGGTGATGGCGGTGTTGACAGCGAGAGTTGGGGAAGGGGAGCGGTGATAAGGGACGGAGGTATGTAGTAGTATACCAAAGAGAAGTATAGAAAACAACTCGAAAAGAAAGGGATGTTGATTAAAAGATGGAGGGTGAAACTTGGAATGTGGAAAGGAGGGGAAGAGAAAAGTGAAGGCTAGTAATAATAGAATAAATGAGAGTTTGGTCGTTCAATAGCGGAAAGGCAAGGAATGAATCGAGGGCAGGAGATGCAAAAAAGGGACTGTGAATGCAAATAGATCTGGTTCCGGACGGGGGGGCGCCGTTGGGGATCGTCGGGCAATAGTGGAAAACGGGGACGGGCTAGAAAAGGAGATATGCCGCGATGCAGTCGTCAGATCTCGCCACGGTTTCAGCCGCGGCCCGCATTCAAATATTAATTAGTGAAACGGTCGTAAGGCGGGTTATGATTGCTTCAGGGGATGGCCGACGCAGAAAGGCATGCCTCCACCAGATTAACACATGGAAACCCGGTCCACACGTGGGTTAAAATGGAGATGAAGATGAGGGTGGGTATGGGACGCTGATGATGATGATGGCTCCCAGACTTTATTTATTTCTTGTTATCAGTTCGACTTTGGGATCGTTGGGCTCTTCGTGAGAGGTGCTGTAACACGCCAAATGTCTTGACTTCAGGTACCGTTAGGACCCAAAGCCTAATACGTCAACTTTTGTCACTCACAAGACCTAATAAGAAGGGCCCATGGTGATGACGATGTTGATGATCGCTGTCGGTCGTAGGGCTGTTCCCGACGCAGGGAAAAGCAAAGGAAGAAAGCGTTAGTGATGATTTCCAAAAAAGAAAATCAAGCCCGGGTTGGGAAAAGCGAAGGATAGAGATCATGTTTATATATCAGGCCAGGAGTCTTTGGTGCCAGTCGGGTGACACACACTGGGACAGACCGGACCACGCAGGCAAATGACCAGCGCATAGGGGACGAACTGCGTGGAGTCGTGAGTTAGCCAACCTAAATCCGTGACAACAGGAGAGATCCATCGAAGGACGAGTTGTCCGCCTCTCCCAATAGACTCGAGCCATGAATGGCACCGAAACCTGTGCTGGCGAGCGGGTCTTGACGCCCACTCGCCTCACACTCATTGCCTGCAAGGCCACTTGGTCGCTGGCAGGGCTCTCTCTGCCCGTTGGCTTCACGCCGGCGCCATGTAGGTACTTGCCCTGGAGAGCCCCGGATTATACCTTGATAGGATCAAGGACATTTTTCTCACTCGTGGGTGGAAGGCCTAGACAAGGGGGTGAGCAGCTGCCTGTTGATCCATCAGTAACGGGCCGCGGATGGGCTGGTCAGTGAGTCTTGGTGCAGAAATGGAGGAAATCCATCTTGTCTGGCTATTTAGACTAGGGTCTGGGCAAGTGGCGGTAAGATTCAGTAGATCGGGCAGGCACAGCAACCTCATCATCGTCATCCAATGGTGCCAATGAGAAAACAAATCATCTTCTCCGTCACACCTCGAGTTGTTTCTACTTTGACTATCGAGTTGTTCACCGTCTCGTAATATTTGTCGGTCACGTGTATACAGGCCCCCCCGATTGGGAACCACGGCCACCACAACTGCCTCTCGCCATCCTTCTCTGTCCACTTCTCGTCTCTTCTTCCAACTCATCATCGTCCCTCATGCTGCGTTTGACGTTGGTCTACCTCCATCGACTCAGGATGAATTAAGTTGTGTTCCGCTCCAGCCTTGGTCCATTGCGACGCAACCACGTCCCATGTCCACCTTCGATGGGTTTGTCCGGGGTAGGTGTATACTTCCGATCCTTCGATAAGCTAAGTCTGCTCTCTAATGCAGTGTAGAATTTCCCTCCATTCAGAGTAAGAAGTTGGTAAACTCCCGATAGGTGATTATCAACTCTAAAATTCATGCAGTTGACTACTTCCGCAAGAATCCAGAGAGGCCGCCTCCGCTCGCCTGTTTTCTCAGCCATGTCCACAGTGACCATCTTCAAGGGCTGGAGTCCTTTAGAACTCCTTTCATATACTGCTCTGCGGCGACTCGAGAGGTGCTTATTGATCCAAATTTTGCTGTAGCACAAACTCATATTCTCCTAGATGCTCTTACGCATCGAAAAGTATCCTCATCGTATGAACTTTAGCAAAGGGATCCTAGAGTCTCGGAAACTGCATTACAAACATCTGTCTAAGCTTCTGGTATGTATCCTCTACCAGTATCATGACAGTAACCTCATTGGCACAGAGGCCGATTCCGTTGAACACGCCAACGGAGCTGGATCTCACCCCACGGCTGTCAATCAGAGCCACTCTGTTCGATGCAAACCACTGCACGGGCGCGGTAATGTTTCTGATAGAGGGCAATGGGAAGGCTATACTATATACCGGCGATATTCGCGGTATGCTAGCTCTACATTAGCTTCCACAAGCTTACTTCCTTGCTAATGGTCTGTAGCTGAACCCTGGTGGGTTAACAGCATTATCAGGAATCCCGTCCTCATTCCCTATACCTTGGGGAACAAGCAGCTAGATAACATATACATTGACAACACCTTCGCCCGCCCGTCGCATGTATGCCATACCTTTCCATCAAAGGCAGAGGGCTTGAAGGAGCTGTTGAACAAAATCCAAGCGTATCCGGACCGCACTACATTCTATCTTCGGGCTTGGACCTTTGGCTACGAAGAAGTCTGGATGGCACTGTCGGCTGCCCTCAATTCAAAGGTGCGTATTGTACTCTACAACAGTACGGCATCTGTACTGATGATTCCAGATCCACGTGGACCGGTATCAAATGGATCTATATAGGTCGCTGGCCTCTCGCAGTGTGAACGATGCTCCTTTCCTCTGTGGCTATGAACTCGGAAACCGGTTCGTTCCAGGCTGCCTTAGCGAGGATGAGGGTTCTCGCATCCATAGCTGCGAGCCAGGCGTTCACTGTCCTGTAGCTGCGTCTCGAGATACCGTTTACATTAGGCCGATTGTGACCCGCACTGATGATGGATTAGAAATGCCCGAGATCGGGGCTGGCGGGGGAGGTGGTGATCTATACCAAGTTCACGAACTCGAGCTCCCGGACCAGTCAGCATTGGAACAGTTAGAAAAGCTCTGTTCCGAGCGCATTCATGATATACATGCGCTCTCACAGACGAGACAGGCTCTTATTGACGCGTTCCGATCAAAAACCAAAGCACTATCTCTCGATAATTACGGAATGAAAGATGCACACGACTTGCCCCTAGAAGACCTCGTGGGCATACTGAGTCGTGGCCGTCCTGACGACGATTCTGCATCAAGCGAAGCCAATCAGCACACACATCTACGAGACAGACAAGGCAATCCCCTTCCCAGAATCATCGTGCGTATCAATCACAAACCCCAGTCCCTGAATATTCCCTAACGTTCATAGCACTTCCCCTACTCCCGCCACTCCTCCTACTCCGAACTTTGTCATCTTGTTTCCGCATTCAGGCCCAAAGACGTCTATCCCTGCACAGTCGATCCCGTGAGCTGGGAAGAAGAGGTCTCAATGCAAACCCTCTTCGGGCACCTCTGCAGCGCGACTGGATTCGCCCACGATCAGCAGATGCGGGACTTGACAGCAAAAGATCCAGAGATACGAGCAAGGAAAAGAGCCCGCTATGAAGGTTCCTTTACAACACAGTCAAGCCAACAAACGTCCAGCATGATCGACAGCAGTATACCGGAACCGCTCCAATTAAGCCATCCTCCACGCCCAGCAGCCACCATCGATCCACTGTCTTCCTCAGACCGGATTCCTCTTCCATCGTCTCTCGAGCCAATCGAAGAGTCCGCTCCAGTACCCACGGACCAGCCTCTTATTATTCCCGCCCTGTCCCCAGAAACTGCAAAGGCACGCCGTGATGAGATCCGCCGTGCCTGGCACATGCTTAACAACGCCGAGCCTTCCCAGCGTGCGCTCTACCAGCTCGACTCCCTCCCTTCCTCTTGGACCGATGAAGAAACAGAATTACCCAAATCTGAAATCGCTCCGACCCCGCACCCTCCTCTAGACAACCCACCTCATCCCACCTCAATAACGGCACCCAAACACACCTTACCAATCGAAACACAAACGTCCACCATTACCAACACCTACCCTGGAACCCAGAATCTAACAACAGATACCCAGCCCTCAGATTCACTCCCACGGCCAGATGAAACCGAGAATCAAACTCAAACGAACAGCCAATCCAGCGAACCGCTGTCCCTAGCATCATCAACATTCGAATCTCAGGAGCTGGAACCAGACATTGAGCAACGACAAGACGATGAAAGTATAATTCCCAACTATGACGGTACAACTGACCATAACACCACTTCTCATCATCGCCGTCGCCACCAACAACAGCGACAGCAAAGTCTTCGACGATCGGTATCAGCCCAAATCCGCCGGGACGCATATCTAGCCGCGCGAGCAGATAGCTTCGAAGCGTGGGCGGCGGTCTCGCTTATATCAACTGGGGATAATCATACCGAAGAGGAGATTGAACTCTGATCAGACCACTGCAGTCAGTCACTCACTGCTCGCCTGCTGGCGTTATACTACGCAGTCTAAATCCTCATTATAACGCTTCATAAATTATAAAATAAGACAAATAATGCAATTCATATCATGCATGGCTCATCACGTAAGTAAGTCAGGTCAGGTCAGGTTACTATATACAATCCTCCTTCCATTCCACGGATATCCCCATCCATCTCATGCATTAATCCTACCACCTTCAACCAACCAACCATCCACCTATAAGCCTCTCATAAAATATCGTAAAAGAAAAGGAAGAGAAGAAAAAGTCTATACAAAGAATGCAAACAAACCGAAATCAATCAAGGATATCTTGCTTTAATAAACGAAGTAATCCTGTGTCAGCGGCAGACTTCCTGCCGGTTCGGCATCACAGAGCATTCCGTCCGCCTCGACACGGTAACTTTCGGGGTCGACATGCATCTTGGGCATGATGTCGTTGAACTTCATGTCGGCTTTGCCGATGTTGCGGCAGTTTTTGACGGCTTCGACGCGTTTTTGCAGGTTGTAGGACTGGACTATGCCTGCGTCGAGGGAGGCTTGGGAGACGAAGGTGATGGAGGTGGAGGGGACGAGGGCCTGGGTATTCTGGTTAGTGGTGATGGCTTAGACGGGGCAAAGTGGGGATGACTTACGCCGAATTGGGGACGCATGATGACGGGTTGGACGGTGGGGATGGATGCGTTGGGGTCACCCTGTGGTTCATTAGCAATTGTATTCTTAGGGGTTTATTAATTAGGGGGAAGAACGTACCATCACTGACACGGCGATCATGCCGCTCTTCACTACTTGCGTTGGCTTCACGCCAAACGCACTGGGCGTCCATAGGACGAGATCGGCGATCTTGCCGACCTCGATACTGCCAATCATATGGGACATACCCTGCGCGATGGCTGGGTTAATGGTGTATTTACTGACGTAGCGCTTCACGCGGAAGTTGTCGGCGCCGGTGCCTTCGTCCTCCGGCAGCGGGCCGCGCTGCTCCTTGTTCTTGTGTGCGGTGTTCCATGTCCGCAGGATGACTTCACCGCAGCGACCCATAGCCTGGGAGTCGGAGGACATCATGCTAATAGCGCCAAGGTCGTGAAGAACGTCTTCGGCCGCAATGGTTTCCGCGCGGATACGAGACTCTGCGAAGGCGACGTCCTCGGCAATGTTCTTGGACAAATGGTGGCAGACCATGAGCATGTCGAGGTGTTCATCGAGGGTGTTGAGAGTGAAGGGACGAGTTGGGTTGGTACTACTGGGGAGGACGTTGGGGTGCTCCACGACTGAGATGATGTCCGGAGCGTGACCTCCACCGGCACCTTCGGTGTGGTAGGTGTGGATAGTGCGGTTCTTGAATGCTTCAATGGTCTGTTCAACGAATCCGGATTCGTTTAGCGTGTCGGTGTGAATCATGCACTGGACGTCGAACTTGTCGCACAGGTCAAGGCAGCTGTCGATGGCGGCGGGCGTGGAACCCCAATCTTCGTGCAGCTTCAACCCGGCGGCACCGGCGTAGATCTGCTCCTCAATGCTTACGCCACCGCAGTCGTTACCCTTACCGGTGATACCAACATTGATGGGCAGGCGGTCGCAAGCTTGGAGCATTTGGCGCATGTGAACGGGACCAGGCGTGCAAGTCGTGGCATTGGAGCCAGTGGAGGGACCGGTTCCTCCTCCCAAGAACGTCGTGATACCAGAAGCGAGCGCCTCGTCCACCTGCTGGGGGCAGATGAAATGGATGTGGGTGTCGAAACCACCAGCTGTGACGATCTTGTTCTCACCTGCAATAACATCGGTCGAGGAGCCGACAGTCATGCCCGGGGTAACACCGTCCATGATATCGGGGTTTCCAGCTTTACCAATGCCCACGATGAGCCCATCCTTGATTCCAATATCGGCCTTGAAGATACCAGTCCAGTCGATAATCAGAGCATTCGTGATGACGGTGTCCAGAGCATGCTGCGTGGACTTTTCCGAAGACTGACCCATGCCATCTCGAATAGTCTTGCCACCGCCGAATGTACACTCGTCTCCATAAGATGTGTAGTCCTTCTCCACACGAACCCAGAGATTGGTCAGACCCAGGCGCACGAGATCACCAGTAGTAGGGCCAAACATACGCGCATAGGCCTCACGGTCCATGGAGAACGGTGTAGGTACCAGCGCGCTGTCGGCAGTAGGTTCGGGAACATGGGCGAAGTTCTGCACTTGCAGACGGGCCATGATCTCCTCGGCACGGGCAAGATCGACCTTGCCGGACGCGATACAATTACCTCCACGGATAACCCGGTGGCCTCCAATCTCCACAAGCGTAACTACCTTGGTGTCTCCGGGCTCGAACCGTACCGACGTACCAGCGGGAATGTCGAGTCGATATCCATAGGATCGAAGGCGGTCGAAGTGCAACTGCGGGTTGGTTTCGATGAAATGGTAGTGTGATCCGACCTGGATGGGCCGGTCACCCCTGCTCATCACCTTGAGCTTAATGCGCTTCCTTCCCTCGTTCAGGATGATGCGTTCGTTCTTCACAGGTAATATCGCTCCGGGCGTCTTCTCGGGTTCGTAGTCCTCCGGATCAGGATCGGGGAAGGCATCTGCCGGGGGAATGGGAAGGAAACTTCCGTAGAGGGCCTTTTCAAGGTCTCCATCATCGCTACTGATAGGGTTGTGTACTGTCACGAGATAGGTACCAGTGGTGAATGTACCTTCGACCTGTAATTCGTAAAGAGTCGAAACGACGGACGGGAGAACATGACGGCGACCCAGCATGCTCTTCCCGATAGACATGAGATCGGCTACAGAATATTGTCCATCCCGGATCAGCTGTAACAGCGGACGAGAATTAACGGAGATGGTCAAGATGATTTTCAGAGAGTGGTGATGGGCTATTTACCTCCTGCAGGTTGGACGAGATTAACGCCTACCGAAGATCGTCAGTCAAGTCTCCAACGAATCACCATGCGCATGGAATGGAGCTAATATGCAACATACCGCAGCTTCGGCATGGTTGAGACGAATACCGCGAGCCAGTCGACGCTGGGCCAGGAAGCCCAGCTGAGAGATAACGAGCTTGTCAAGCTGGAGAGAAGAGCAGCAGGTGGTCAGTCAATCCGTCTGATTCGAGCAGTATGAAGTACGTAGTGCCAAAGATCGCAGCGTACCTCCTTGGGACACAAATGCATGCTGGGCTGGCAGTGAGAATGCCCTTGACCTCAAAATCAGAGACGTCCTCGCGGGACCAAGGATGAAGCAGTGGACCCAACCTCCGACGCAAGGCGGGCTTTCTGGGAGGGTGGAGGAGGGGAGCGGGCAACGATATGAGATGTCAGATGGTAAACGCGGACTTTGTTGTTATTTTGGAGAAGTTGACAGGCCAGAATGGACCAGGGACGCAGGCTCGGGAGAGGAATTTAAACGCCACGGCCGGGGGAGAAAAGGCGCGCCGGATCGGGAGGTAAAAGTGGAAAAGGTGGGGATATCCAGACATTCCATCTTTGGCATCTCATACTTTGGCGAAACGAGCGAAGCCATTGCCCGATAAGCGGTCGGCAGCTGCTGATAAGCAGTGCATCGACCTATGGCAGCCCGGCTTGGACCAGGTGACTAACGGCTTGCAGTCAATCGGGAAACTTCGCTTGGAGGTTTGGAACTGAACATCGGCACTCGCCGGCCACTGCCACCTCCACTTCTTGCCTCTCTCGGTTTAGTCGCTATCCGTTCGCTTCAGCCCAATATGTACCCCGGGGAATGGAAACACCACCGTAGCAACTATTCGAGCTAGTATCTACATTCTACATGCTGCTACTGGACTAGCCATAGAATAAGCAGCGATTTAGGTTGGAAACAAGCTTTTCCCTTCCTTTTTTATTCTTCTTTTTTCTTTTTGTGGTTCTTCCATTCAAATTGAACTACCAATGACCCAGTCCCAACTGAATAACACCCCGCAAAGCGCAAAACAGTCAAGACGCCAACAGGTCCGAGGAAAGTAAATGAGATAACACAGCGACCCCAGCAGCAATGGTACCCAACAAAGCAATCCGCAATATGCTACACACACAGAGAGAGAGTAGTCATATAATGGGGGCAAATTTACATCACGTAGCAGCTACCAGTTGTGGCAGTAGACAGGCGCCCAATTCCAAATTTGAACTCCATACCTTCTTCAAATCACCAAGTCCCTCATACTCGTATCGTACTTACTCCTCAGCACCGGCCTCGCTCTTGCGCTTCTTCTTGGTGGCGCGCTTGTTCTCGCCACCCGCAGCCTTGCGAGCAGGGGTCTCTTCCTGCTCCTTCTCCTTCCGGGCAGCGGCCCCACGCTTCTTCTTCTCGGGGGACTCCTTCTTCTTCTCGCTGGGGGTCGGTGCCTCCTTAGCAGCAGGCTTACCCTCGCTACGACGGCGCTTGGTGCTGCGCGGGGGAGTGGGCTCCTTGACCGGCTCGGGAGAGGACTCCTCCTCGGACTCTTCCTCGGACTCCTGCTCCTCATCCTCAGACGCCTCGGTGGCCTCGGCGCCCTCAATACCCTGGTGCAGCTGGCTGGCAGCCTTGGCATCGTCCGAGTAAGGGAGGCCAGCCTTGTAGGCCTTCACCTTCTCCTTGTAGACAGCAAGGTTGTCCGCATACAGCTTCTTCCAGACCTGCGCGTGAGTTAGCAACGGCGCTCTTTATAATCAAATGGGCATGTCAACGTACCTCCTTCTGGACTTCAGGCATCTCAGCCCAACGGCGAGTACCCTCGTCAGAGACTTCCTTAGGCTTAGCATTGGGGCCCAGCTCCTCAGCAATACGGGAGCGGTTGTGCTGCATGTAGAGGAAGAAGGGGGTCAAGGCGCGCTTGGGAGCGTTGGGGTCCGGGGGAGCACGCTTGCGCTTCTTCTTCTCGCCCACTTCGGACTTGGCGCCAGGGCTGGTGGCACGCGCACCAAGCAGGCCAGACTCATACAGAGAGCTGGTGATGCCGGTGATGCTGCTGATGTCCAGAGCAGTGGGGGTGCGGCCCAGGACAGTATCGGCATGGTTGAGATAGGCCTTGGTCAGCTCGGAGACAGCCGCCGACAGCTGCACTAGGCTAGAGACAACCTGAGAATGAATTAGTGGGGCTTGTTGGGGGGCAGCAGTGGCAATGGTGCGGATGCCAGTAGTGATGGTATGGATGGCAACGGTAGCACGGGAGATGGGCGCCACCAGCGCCGGGGCAGACGCTGCTGAAGGCGCCCGCTCTGGAGATGAGCGTCCGCGCCGGGCCATTGGGAAGGGGAATGGCGTTGGCGCGAAACCAAGGAAACGCGCGGTGCGATTACAGAAGCGAAGGAGAGGGCAAACAAAGGGAAATCAGAGCCGAAAAGCCAGCTGAAAGGGAAATAAAGCGAAGCAATCCAAATGCGAAGACCAAGGGGATAGTACAATGCTGGGTTGAGGGGAAATGAAAGCCAACGGCGTCGCGCTGAGCCCGTCGGGGCGGCCTTTTGTTTACGGACGCGTGGTGGTGAATTTGGGGGGTGGGAGGCCAGCGCAGCGCCCGTCCACCGTAGCTTAAGGGAGGGAGGCAGTCGGCAGGCCGCGCGCGCGCGCCGGAGGGCAAAACGACGGAAACAAACGATACATCAGAAAAAGAAAAAGGTAACTTACACTGTCGCGAGTGCGGGTAAAGTCTTCAACATTAACGGTGACAGTGTCATCCCTAGCCTTGGAATCTTCGCGGCGAGACATGATGGAATGAGCACACGGCGGGGGGGCGGCAACCACACCGGAACGATTAATGGATGAGATATGGGGGGTGGGAACACAAGTAATGTTAGGAAGAAGGGAAAGAGAGGGAAGGCGATGACGGGAAGAAAAGAAGATTTTTCGCTCGCTAGCGGGGTCCAGCTTAGCGGGACGAGGCCTCCTAAATACTGGCCCCGTCCACCGCGGGCCTCCCCTCGCTGTTTTGGGACTTAGGGAAGTCTGGTCTCTTTCTTTCGG